CTCTGAGAATGGTTCTGAAATATTATCGCTATAAGGCTATAAGCTCGGAAATCGTGAAGCTTCTTCTAAAACAAAGATCCTAAAGGTGTTTGTCAGTATTTATAGTTGGTTTGCATAATTTATTTTTGTCGAAATTCTTCATTGCGGTCAAGATCTAAAAGTTTGAAGGAAAGCGTAATAATAATAATGTGCAGCCAGCAATGCCAATGTATTCGTAAAGCTGGCAATACGAGCGCGCAATAAAAGGCCACAACAATATTCCGCTGGCTAACCACATGCAAATTCTCATATTGCTTCAGCAAGTTTTCTTTGTTGACCGATATGGGCAGCAAAATTTGTATATTGGCAATTTTGATCAATTTTTTATATGACACTTGCACGTATTCAAAATCAAGTATACTTATTAAAACATATCGTAATTTTAAAGATTTTATAGGCATCACACGGAATAAATGAAATAAATATACTTGTAATAATACGTTCCGTCCTGCCCCTCGTATAAACTTGCTTGCTCTAAAGGTCATGTTACACGAGGCAATTTATGCAAAATATGCATCTTCATTCCCACTATCGGTTTTGACCAGGCATGATGGCAAAAACGCGACCGAGTGGTCAAGACACGTGTCGCGGGGCGTTGGGAGTCATTGGAGTAAAAAATTTGGTTTCACTTTACCAATGACCCTAAAATCTGAAGGTAGTGTTCCAGCTGTATTTATGCCAACGGCCGGAATTATCAAGGTATCAGTTTGCCGTCAGCTGAACTTTCGAAGGTTATTTACCGAAATTAAGAAAAATAATTATTCATTTCAGGGATGGTGGAAAAAAGGTGTGTTTACAACTATACTTTTGGAACGCAACCATGAGCTTTTCCCGACACTTCCAGAACGTGTGGACAGTGGACTTATTTCAAACCAATTCCGAATGCATCTGTTAAGTGAATTTTGATGTATTGCATAAAATAGCTTTATCAAACACTATAAAGACTGGGGGAAATGGAAATAATGAGAAAATATAAAATAATGAAAATTTCACGCAGCTGTCAAAAGTAGACGCGGGCGGGTGTTGGTAAACTGATACCTTAATTTAATTCCATTGGCCTATAACATGGCCTTTAGATCGACAAGATTCAAACATTGTTATTAAATTAAGCGGTCTCACCTCGGTTTACCCGTGCGGTCTTCGATTTTAGGATTTTCTCGGTGTGGATGTCTTTTGATCGACTTTCACCAAAGTCCGTCAGCTTACATATGAGTGGCTTAATGGAAGCCATGCATTCGACTGCTCGTGTATCTGTGAGACAATTGTAATGGTGGTTAGACACCAATATATTTTTAGGTTTCAGGTCACGGTGGGCAATCCCTTTCTCGTGCAGATACTTCAAACCCAACGCGACGTCCAAGGAAAAATGAATAAATATCGAGCAATGCATGCCATGGCAATCTGATTGTTCGCAAACTGCCAAGAAATTGGCTAAGCTATGCACAGTGATGCCGTCGTTTCCGATTGGCGTAAAATCAAAATACACATATTCAAGCAACACAGCGTACTTTTCCAGACAAACTCCTTCAACAGTTCGTATCAACAGTTTCGCGAGTAGGTTGGCTTGTTTTCCCCAAACTGCCAAAAAAAGACATTTGGCTTCGCTTGCCTCACAAACACAACCGTGCTGTGGCAGTTAAAGATCGAAAGGAAGTTTCATGTCAAAGTCTATGCTGACAAAAGCTATTTCGTATTACCTTAAATAGCCGTGCGCAAATATACAAAGTGGACATTGTCACATTGTCCTGTACTTCGCAAGCTTTGTGCTTTGCAAGAGCAATTTTCATATGAATTCATCTTAATAAGACTCGGCATTTGGGGATTATATGCATGTCGCTGATGTAGACAATCCCTGTTTTAAAATTGACCTTTTTAAGCGGAAGTACAGATAAAAACTAATGTAACCTAGCGTTTGTAAACAGCCTGTAAACTACTGGTTTCGTATATAGTTGGAAACTAATTGTTTGTGAGTTTAATACCAAATCATATATATTAATTAATTGGACATTTGACATCGGCAAAGCGGGTCTATATCGGAATCGTGCTGTCACAGTAATGAGTATTTCTCTCAACTTTAGTATTGTTTACATTTATAATTTAATCAGACTGAGAAAGAATGCGCCTCGATTACATCCGACGAAACAGTTGGACTTTTGTTAAAATACGACTATGGCAAGTACGTTAGTAAACCTTATGTATTAATATTTCTTCGTACGAGTTGTTTTATCGCGTTCAAATACTCACTCGATTACGCGATATTTGCGCAAATGAAATTGGACCCGAGTTTAAGCAGATGTCTAACGTATTTAATTAGAATTTTCAGCGTTACAAAGGTTCGAAAAACCCCGCATTTCCACAATTTAATATATTATCATTTTTTCGACAATTTATTACGATTAATAATAGTCTTAATTACATTTCCTAAAAAACGCGGATTTGATCCCCCCCCGTCCATCAGCTTGTCCCCCCCGTCCGTCCGTCCGTCCGTCCGCCATCCGTCCGTCCGTCCGCGATCCGTCCGTCCGTCCGTCCGTATCCGCGTTTTATCCTTACCCAGGAGGAAAGATAATGTTAATTCACGATTTGTCAGTGTGAATCAGTACCATATGATTTTAGTGGCATTGTCATTGATACGATAGCGGTGATCGGTATGCGATAAAAGTAATTGCCCTAAATTGGCACTTTCCTTTATTTACTTTAATCAATGTGTTACTCTTAAAAACTGTCGACGTGTTAATTGCAGCTGTCAAGAAGGATTAAATGTTATCAGGGAACTATTAAACTCTATATAAATCCAGTTCATGATTCACACATGACATGTACCAATTTCCTAATTTTAAAAGCGAATACATGCAAACGTATCAGCATTGATAAAGAAACAATGAGTCAGCGTGGCCGTGGTTCTTGCCCTAACTGTAAAGCACAGTATTTTAACCGCTACAAGCCATCAAAGTGTGGGATGTGTGGCTATGCGCTAGGAGGAACATTTGAACCATCAACCAAGAAAGTTAAATATTCCCCTAAAGCAGTAGAAATCTCTAAAGGTGTATACAGCGTTACAACCAGTACACGAGACGATCGCTGTTTTGTTACCACTGATGGTAATTTGTGGTTTTGTAGTCTTGAGGAATGCAAGATTGCAAGATCAGTTCAACACAATTCATCACGCTTAGCCGAGTTTAGTTGTCGTCATATCGATGAAGTAAAGTTTTGTGACAAATCTCCTCCGGTCGCTATTTTGAAACCGGACTTAGATAACTTTGTGTGTAGTGAAACTCTCAGAAATTCCATACAAGATGTGCTAAATGTAGCTGGATCTATGCCTATGGCAAGTGCTGCTGTCCAGGTATCCGATGCAATGTTCTGTGCGTTCGGACCTATAACAGCAAGTATATAATCCTCTCGGGTACTGCCATGTCCGCAAAAGTGCAACTGAATTGAATCACTTCATTTGCACCGGAAAAGACTGCAGAGGATTTGCTGCTAAAGGCAAGCAAGTCAGAACAAAATCAATGTGCATGCATATAGCTATATTGCATTCGTGTTTTGTCACCAATACTTTGGACACGACTGGTGATACCAACAATGCAACTTTTGAAGCCGAATCATCAACAGAACCTGGGCCTACGGTAAATTCAAGTGAACTAACTAAACGTCTTTCTACGTTGTCTTTAGCCGAGAAGGTTAAAATTTTGCCATATATTTTACCCCATGATTTGTTGCAGTCAGTAGCAAAGAGAGATGCTTGTACATTGCTTGGTGTTGGTGAGATGTGGCCAAACAGTTTCATACCTGATTTGGAAAACTGTCAGCTATGTGGTTCCGTGTTAGGTGATACCTGCATTCATCCCGGACAATCTCAAAACAACCCGTGCTATCTGCTCACAGAACTTAACCCGTTTAAGCAAGTGGATATAAAAGTTAAATTTTGTTCATCTCGTGATTGTTATGCAATGCATCAAGCATCTGTGGAAAAACTAGGTAGGCCATAACAATACTATATCGGAAAACCTATAGTTGTGGCATGTGCCTGTTAATTCCAGGAACTATAGTTACCCGGTCATGTTTATCTTGACTGTGAACAGCTAACCATGCAGCTCTGCATGTTCCAGGCTTTTGCACAGTTAGTAGTTAAGAAATTATTGCACCCGCGTGTCACAAAGTCTCAACTTGGAAAATTACCCTCATGCACCTCAGGCTCAGCTTGCCCTGACCGTATCCTATACTTGTAGAGGCCTTTATACACTAACCGAAGGTTATAGGAAAAGCAGCCTTTGGCAGTTTGAGGTGGGGTGTGGGTTTATGCTCATTGGAGGCTTAAGGCCCACACAGACCGAACGCGATTCGACAACGCGCGACGCGAATTTTTTCAGTTTTTTAAACCAAATAAAACCGTCAACGGATAAAAAATTTACAAGATATGCAGACCAGATAGCTAAAATTGCTCAAGTGGTTCCGAATATTTGAAAAACATAGAAAAATATTAAAGTTAAATGTTATTGAAAATTGAAAATTTGCGTCGCGTTGCCGAATCGCGTCCGGCTGTGTGGGCCTTTATAGAGCGCTTCGGTAATAATAGCAAATGAGAATTTGTGATACGGTTGCATGATTATTGAATTAATTGCTACAAGACTTTCACTAAGACATTCATGATACTTGCAGCATGCGATCATATCATATTACATATAGAACTAAAGTGAACTTGAAAAAAAATTGTTGATTTCCTAATATGCGCGCGTGCTTCTTTCTATATTATAGGTTTGTTCAACATCAGTGACAAAGTTTTGGTTTCGCTGGATATCCTACTGGAATTCAGAGAGTTTTTCAAGATGGGACATCCTATAGGAAATGTTATTCATGCAAAGCTTATAACCCTGACGGCCAAATGCGAAGAGGTTAGCAGCAAATAATCATAGTAGTTTTAACAAGTTTAGGCAAAAATGCTTTTGTACATGTCAGTTACTTTTGGAATACTGTAGTTGAGAAGCGGTTCATTTAATAACATAGGTAATTCCTATACTTATAATAGTTATTATGTATTGACTGTATAACCAAGATTCAAGTATTAAAATAATTTGATTTATTCAGGAATTATAATTTTTCGATTAGGAGTTTTAACTTAAAAGTTTTTTAATTAGTAACAATTTAGTAATTTAGTTAATGTCATAAGGCCCGTTTACACGGGCGATTTTTGCTGCGATTTTATTTGCGGTTTTGGAGGATGGAGGATGTAAAGGAGTGCATGGATGAGTTATAAATGTTCCAGGTTATGAATTCTCATTACAACATCATTAAGTGAATCTACTCCTTCAAATCCTCCAAAAGGAGAAAATCGCAACCAAATCGCAGCAAAAATCGCCGTTTACTCATAGGCCAATAATCTATATTATTATTATTATTATTATTATTATTTAAAAATATTTTAAAACGGTAGCTCTTCAGGGCTCGTAGGCACCTGCTTTTCAAGAGGCCGTTTATTACAGTATTTACAAGCTATATAAATATAATAACACAAATATACACACAAAAACAGAGAAAACATAACGAACTTAATAATTGCATGCACTACATTTGTATCTAAAAATATCCTATCCTATTTAAATATTTACAAAGTTACCAAAAGGAATCAAGTGCCGTCAAGAATACGTTTAAATTTGTTAAGGCTAATGCCTTTTTCTTTTGCTGTAGTTGATAAGTCATTCCAAAGGGATGCAGCTGAATAACTGAAGCTCTTTTTCATAAAATTTGTTTCAGGTTTTCCAAGTTCATAGTTGTTATTGTTACTTCTTAAATCATATCTGTCATTTATTTTAATTTTGAACATGTTGCAAATTGATGATGGCATTTTTTCGTTTCGTATTCTGTGCATAAAAATCGATTTAATGGTTTTATAGCGTTGGTTTAAAGGTTGCCAGTCTAATTCTTTTAAAACATCCTCAGAACTAACTTCATAAGTTTTACCAGGGCGTAGTAAAACACGGGCGGTGAAACGCGCTAATATTTGCCTGATCCATGTGTGATGCACGGGAGACTGGCGCGAGCGTGCGAAATGCGCGGATGAAGCGGGATTTTTAAAGATGAAGCGAAGCCTCTCTCCTCCGCAGAGGCTTTATAATTGGCTATGAAGGCGCCAAGCCTCTGCACGATTCCACACCCAATATGGCGGTAAACCGGGGGGGGGGGGCGTATAATTATCAAACGCAAAATTCAAGTCAAATTCAAAATGACTGAGAAAACATTTATTTAAATTTATATTTGACATTTGTATTTTTAGAAATGTGTCCAAAACCGCATAAAAGAAAAAAAATGAGTATGTATAGCATACAGAACCATTATTAAATTTATTATCAAGACTGAAAATATAATTCAACTATTTCAACTTCAGCAATATTTATAAACAAACGCGACCTTAAGTCGGATTCGACCTGATTTATTTGGAGGTTCGTATCTTTGGTTCAATATACGCTATGTAGATGAAAATACCACCGTTCGATTCAGTACAAAAATATCTCCTAGTTTCTATCGATAGTTTTAGTGAAATGTCAACACTATAGCGATTTATGACCTTTGAAAGTCAAGCGGGATTTTGTATATTAATATCAAATCACGCAATGTTTATACTTGATAAAAATATAAACTAGGCATACCTTTCGGCGAACATAACTTCGGCTCCTTGGGACGCATCCTCTTTGTATTACTCTTGTTCGAAAGCGAATTCAAAACACTACTTAAAGTGTTATTTTTGAGCTTGTATCTTGAAAACTTCATCTTTTATTATGGTATTTCCATTTCTGGTCTGTTGTGAACTAATTCCCGAACTGATCAGCGTGTGACAGCCGCGTGCGACTGTGCAAGTAAAAACCCGATATTTTGAAAAATTAAAAATAAATATTTCTACTGGCTGTATTCAAAAGAAATTTTCTACACGAAAGCGCTTGAATACAAGGAGTATTTTACTTCTTTGATTGGTGGCGAATTCCGAAGAGTTCAAGAAATATTCAAGTTTTTCTCGATACGAAATACAGAATGTTTGGCCAAGCGGTGAGTAAAATATACGATTGTTTGCTTTGTGTATTAAATGTTAAAAAATATTACTTTTGACCATCCACAAACATGCAAGGACTAGTCAATGAGGTCAATCAATCATGCATTAAATAATGATTTAATTTTCAAAAAGACGTTTCTTGTTTAGCTTAAAAATCACCTTTGTTTCGATGTTTACACTTTGTCCCACTTTGCGATGCAAATCGTGCAGAGGCTTCGCGCCTTCCTCCGCCTTTCCCTTTGCCGCCTGCGCTCCTTCGCCCAGCGGCTACGCTCGTGTTTCAAGATCCGCCATGTAAAGTGTAGTGAAATGTATCTCATCGAAATACTAAATCCTAAGAAAACTAAAGCCTCTGCGGAGGAGAGAGAAGCGAAGCAAAAACAAGAGACAAAAATATTTAAAGGGCAATCAAAAAGTGCAAATTTTTAAGGTAAATTTATCCTTAAAATGGAAAAAAATTAACTTGTTATAAAATAGAGACTCTGGCAATTAATTAGTATTGCAAATTACATCGCTGGAGTAGGAAAAGCATTTTTAAAATGTGAAATTATTTGAAGGCATAGCGATTTTATCATAAAATATATTTACATTTTTCAGGCAATGACAAATTGTAGTCGAGTTTTTTAGCCAGACCGAGTGGAAAAAAAGTTAACTTCAACCCTTTAAATTATCTATAATTAGTTATACTTTCGATCTGAAAAGGTTAGAAAATGGGCTTTTGTGGGCTTTTTTTTCAATTTAAAGATTTATGACCAGGTCACTTGCGTAATTTACAATGACACAACTGGTGACCTTGTTTTGATAAAGTTAGAAAACAATTGTCAATTTTAATAGAAAGCATTGGAAACATTTTCATTAACATATTCAGGCATTCAAATGCAATATAAAAGTTAGGGAAAATATTCAATTATAAGGAACAAACAGAAAATTCCGTTTTTACCATGTTAAAGGTTGTTTTATTTCTCTTTTCGAACTTACAATATGCAACTGAAATGTCCGCCAAAAGACTCCAAATTGCATGTTCACAGCGATGTCGCAGTTTTACAAGCGCGGAAAATTTTTGACCTTTAAATATTTCATGTACAGTATATGAAAACTAGCTTTATTTTGATGTTTTTGGATAATTTAAGTACCTAATTTTCTAAAAATCACCAAATGATAATGGGCTTTTTTAATTTTTAAACATTTTTTTGGCTTATTTTTGACATGTGCATGCCAAATCTACACAATGCCATATCGAATGCAAGCAAGCGATGTAGTTTGTTGTCGCAGTTTTACAAGCGCGGAAACTTTTTAGCTTTTAAATATTTCATGCACAATATATGAAACCTAGCTTTTATTTGATGTTTTTGGATAATTTAAGTACCTAATTTCCTGAAAATCACCAAATGAGAATGGGCTTTTTTGTTTAAACATACTTTTTTCCAGCTTTTTTCATAGGGTGTCAGATTTCAAAAACGCAAAGTCGAAGGCAATGCTATTCCATGTGTAGATTTGGCATGGACATGTCAAAAACAAGGCCAAAAAAATGTTTAAAAATTAAAAAAGCCCATTTTCATTTGGTGATTTTAAGAAAATTACATACTTAAATTATACAAAAACATCAAAATAAAAATAGGTTTCATATATTGTGCATGAAATATTTAAAAGTTAAAAATTTTCCGCGCTTGTAAAACTGCGACAACAATCTATCGCTTGCTTGTATTTCATGTGTAGATTTGGCATGCACATGTCAAAAATAAGGCAAAAAAAATGTTTAAAAATTAAAAAAGCCCATTCTCATTTGGTGATTTTCAGAAAACTAGGTACTTAAATTATACAAAAACATCAAAATAAAACTAGTTTTCATATATTGTGCATGAAATATTTAAAAGTTAAAAATTTTCCGCGCATGTGAAACTGCGACAACAAACTATCGCTTGCTTGTATTTCATGTGTAGATTTGGCATGCACAAGTCGAAAACAAGGCCAAAAAAATGTTTAAAAATTAAAAAATCCCATTCTCATTTGGTAATTTTCAGAAAACTAGGTACTTAAATTATACAAAAACATCAAAATAAAACTAGTTTTCATATATTGTGCATGAAATATTTAAAAGTTAAAAATTTTCCGCGCTTGTAAAACTGCGACAACAATCTATCGCTTGCTTGTATTTCATGTGTAGATTTGGCATGTACATGTCAAAAATAAAGGCAAAAAAATGTTTAAAAATTAAAAAAGTCCATTATCATTTGATGATTTTCAGAAAATTAGGTACTTAAATTATACAAAAACATCAAAATAAAACTACTTTTCATATATTGTGCATGAAATATTTAAAAGTTAAAAATTTTCCGCGCTTGTAAAACTGCGACAACAAACTATCGCTTGCTTGTATTCCATATGGCATTGTGTAGATTTTGGCATGTGTATGTCAAAAATAAAGGGAAAAAAATGTTTAAAAATTAAAAAAGCCCATTATTATTTGGTGATTGGCAAAAAATTAGGTACTTGAATTATCCAAAAACATAAAAATGAAGCTAGTTTTCATATATTGTGCATGAAATATTTAAAGGTCAAAAATTTTCCGCGCTTGTAAAACTGCGACAACAAACTATCAGTTGCTTGTATTTCATGTGTAGATTTGGCATGCACATGTCAAAAACAAGGCCAAAAAAATGTTTAAAAATTAAAAAAGCCCATTCTCATTTGGTGATTTTCAGAAAATTAGGTACTTGAATTATCCAAAAACATCAAAATAAAACTAGTTTTCATATATTGTGCATGAAATATTTAAAAGTTAAAAATTTTCCGCGCTTGTAAAACTGCGACAACAAACTATCAGTTGCTTGTATTTCATGTGTAGATTTGGCATGCACATGTCAAAAATAAGGCCAAAAAAATGTTTAAAAATTAAAAAAGCGCATTTTCATTTGGTGATTTTCAGAAAATTACGTACTTAAATTATACAAAAACATCAAAATAAAACTAGGTTTCATATATTGTGCATGAAATATTTAAAAGTT